TCGTGATTCTGAAAATTTCCCGACATTCATTACTGTGGCTATCCATAATATTTATATACCATTCATTTTGATGCTTTCGAAAATTGAAAGCAGTTTTGAAATACATAATTATTATTGAAATAATGTCTCGCTGAATTTAATCAATTACTTTAACTACTAATTAACTTTACCAAATCGTTTGCAAAATATAAAAAAACTGGATAAGTTAGTACGACTCGCTCACGAGAATTCCGTACATTTTTTTAAACACACTCCAATCAGCCTTGCCTCAAAGTTAGTACTGTAAAGCTTGTGTTACACACTGTAATACTAGGGTAACGAATAGAATACATAAATAAGCATATTTATACAGAAATACATATTAAACATCCATGACTAGAGAACAAATGCAAGTATTCATTACATAAACATCTGCCCCCACCGGGATTCGAACCCAGGACCTCTCGAGTCGGCGACACCATGAAACCCGGCGTACAAACCACTCGTACCCATATTATTATATTTTATGAGTGAAGTGGTTATCATTCTAACAGTTCACATCTAGTTAGGTATTTCAAAATCGATTAGCAATTCGTCACGCACTTCTTTCCGAGATTTTTCCGAAATTCAGTTTCTGAAGTCTATGATTACTTATATTATTGTGTTTTATAAGTGAAATTTGTTCTAGGTCTGTATTAACGTTTGTTGTCTGCGCTTGTTGTCTACGCGAACAAATCATGGCCCTAATGTTATTTTATTTTCTTATCGAAATATAATATTTTTATACTATTAGGCACAAGATATTTAAGTAGGTAGATACTAGTTCGGATTGTGTTTAATTACAAATATTATATATCCCACACACCAAAGTTATTAGGTACATACACATAGAAGAAGAAAAATGTATGTATTTTTCATTCTTTATCAGTAATCCAAACATAAAAAAAAAATATAATTAAGATCTTTCATGCGATACCCCATGTGCATTGGTTCAAAATTTTGGCCACCATTCTTTGCATAAATACCCTGGTCTTGGTGAAATTTTAAAAGATTAATAGCTTTCAGATTTTTCTCTTCTGTACAAATTAGTAAAAGTTTTAAAAATCTACAAAACCATTTGGTTACACAATAGGGATTATTTATGTAATTAAAATAAGCCTCATATTATTTTTATATAAGCTTTATTACTTTCAAGATATCCCTCCATCAATATTGTTTAATAAAATTAATGATATTAAAGTGCAAAAAAATCTCTTTAATGACCGTTCAGAACGTTGCTTAACTTCGACGATTGTAACGAATGTATAGTATTTAGATTTTATGAGTAAATAAAAAAGGAGAAGAGAAGTGTAGAAACATACGTTTTTGGCATCATAAACGGCCGTATCTTTTAAGTAGTAGAAGTTTGATTTTTTCATAACTTCGAGGAACCATATTAGACCTCAGAATATGGTTTAAATTATAAGCAACGCGATATCTACGCGTTAAACGAGATATAGGTTCTTGACAAACACAAACGGACAGATGGACAGACGGAAACAAAGTAGTCCTTTAAGGATTCCATATTTTCCTTTTCTGGTACGGAACCGTTAAAACGTTAAAATATTGTAGGTACTACGAGTACTAACATGATTGCGTCTGACAATAAGTATGACCAAAGTGGGTGGATTTCGGAACAGGTACGCGGAAAGTTGGTTTCCTGTGTGTGTATATCAGTAATGAATGCCGTATTCAGTGTATGGCGACCACGCTGCACGGGACAGGGCACTGTTGTTAATTACCCCGCCACTTGGTTCGCATACGCAAGGCATACGCGCAAAATAAACGTGTACATCAGAATATGTTCAACTGTTGTTGCGTCGAGAAAACTGGGTCCGGTCGTTTTATAATGGATTCCCTTTTGTCCTCTTTAATGAACCAACGGTCTGATTTTGAAGTTATTTAGCATTCCCCTTAGGCCCTTTGTGGAAACAGCCGCACTGGGGTCTCATCTACCAACAAATATTTAGGACTGGGTTTAATTATGTCGTCCCTGATTGGTCACGCCATTAACATAAATAAGAAATTAAAAATAAATAGGCCCAACAGCTTATAAACTTTTATACACATTTATCTATGCCTACTCATGCTTATTAAACTTTACCTAGTTTAAATGCTACAACATTTATACTACGTATCTGTATCTATATAATGTTTGGAAAATTGTTAGGTACTCAACTACACAAAACGGACGGATCGGAAACGGATCTGAATAACAGTTGGCAAACTGATTTAGAGAGGTTGTATTGTACGAAAGTTGGACACTCTTTTAAACTATGTTCAGGTAAAATTTATATGTCCTTTTCTACTAAATTTCGTGACAAACGTCTGACTAACTTTTATGTGTACGACATAAAAGTTAGTCAGACGTTCGACAGGCTATTAGATTTTCTCGGAAACATTTAAGGTTTTTGTGGGATTTTTTAAAATTACCTATTGGATGTATTATTTAAACGAGTAGAAATCATGGCATTGTATACAGGTTTATAAATTTCTGGTTGTTTAGATACTCTAAGTCCACAGATTTAGTCCCAAGTCTATAACTCGTAAATTATAAATGTTATGTTTAAACAGCTGTTACTTCTGAACCAGGCAAACCTTTAGGACCTAGGACAACATTTTTAAATTCTCAGTACAAGTAAATAAACCAAGATGTCATCATCATCATCATGACCAGCCTATTAATGTCCCCACTGCTGAGGCACAGGCCTTCCCTATGGATGGAATAGGGAGATCGGGACATGACCATGATGAGGATTGGTGGGTGCTAACGACTACAGAAGCAGCCGGGACCAACGGCGTAACGTTCCTTCCTAAGCACGGAGTACTTAGAGATAGTAAGTATTTGGTCACCCATCCAATAACCGACCATAGCGAAAGTTGCTTAACTTCCACGATCGCAGGCTGCATGCGCTATCTATTTGCCGAATCGATCGAATCGAATCGATATACTGAAGAAATAATTATTAAGCTTTTACATATCTTTATCTTCTAACCTAACCTAACCTATAACACTATAAAAGCTAAACCTCTGTGTTGCGATTGATAGTCTCATCGCATATAACGATTTTGTTCTGACAACCGCAAACAAGGGTATGATAGGCAAAACTAGGGCTTCATCCACAGATGAGCTTACCGAGAAATACCCACCCACACGTTGATACATATTGTACACCCACGGAGCTCGAACAGAGAAATAATAATAATTTTCTTTCCGAATATTGATTTCTAACATAATATAGGAATAACGTATTACGTAACTCATTTAGTACTCTTTATCATTTTATATACACATATGCTTTAAAACTTCTAGAAAAGATTTTGAAAGAGTTAGCTTATTCATCATCATCATCAGCCTATTAGTGTCCCCACTGCTGGGGCTCCGCCTTCCCTATGGATGGAATAGGGAGTTTTGTGCCATGACCACCACGCGGGCCGAGTGAGAATTGGTGGGTGCTAACGACTGCAGATGCAGCCGGGACCAACGGCTTAACGTGCCTTACGAAGCACGGAGGAGCTCGAGATACTAATTTTTGATCACCCATCCAATGACCGACTACTTCGAAAGTGGCTTAACTTTAACGATCGCAGCCGAGCCCGCTAACCACCTGCGCCATCGAGTTCCTCATTAGCTTATTGCCAACATTGAAGTATTCGATGTCCTAATAATCTAATATCATCCAAATAAATGATTTCGCATTTTGGTCACTTCATGCAATGGGTTTACACATCAGAAAGTTATAATTTTTACTGCTCGCTACGTGGTATCTGAATGAATTTCAACTTTACTTTCAATTGACTGAATGAATTTCAAAAAGGAGAGCGGCGAAAATTTTCATGAATTTAAAGTCTGAATTAGATGTAGGTTCTTCAGATTTAAGTACAGACTACGTATTATTTCTTACTTTTTAGTGATTTTGTATTTATGAATTCAGTTTTTATTTCTGTTAAAAAGTTTTCCTCTACTGTTAAGGTCTGTCAAAGTGAACACGTATACACTGAACATTTTATGCCAAACGTTGATGGATCCTTTGTTTTGCAAGTAAAGTAGCTATCTCGACCGTCTCATTCTTGGAGACAAAGAGGATTATATGTGACTGCGGCTGGCTCTCCATAAAGAGCTCTTGTGAGGCTGAACAATTGGGTATACGGATTATAGTACGACCCTAAAGCTACAGATTAGATAATGCTTACCAAAGCGGATAAAAGCTTGTATCTTGGATATCATTTCAACGAAATATAAGGTAGAAATAGGTTTTGTTTGCGCTGTCCATATGATATTATGTAATCAATATAGAAGACCCGACCCTGATTCGATAAGTAATTTGATTTGATACAATTTAGCGGAATTACATCAGGCGAGCAACAAACCATTTCAAATTATTAATACACAAATACAATTACTCATTGAATAAGGTCAACGTAATTCAGTTTCTTGTATAAGTGATTGTGTTTCCTATTCCTTTTTTTCCTGCCGGATAACATATTATCAAATATAAGATAGCTAATAAAGAAAATATAATATTCTACCGACACTGTCTTTGAAATTAGGTGTAAATCGCATCGTCATTACTGCACTGCTGCGGCACAGGCTTTCGATATTATAAGGGAATAGGGCCAGGCAGACCCAATGCGGTTTGGTGGCTGCTAACGACTGCAGAAACAGCCATAACCAACGGCTTATCGTGCGTTAAGAAGCACGGAAGAGCTCGAGATAATACAATTTTGGTCACCCATCCTATAAAATTGGTAATTGCGAAAGGTTAACTTCCCCCATCGCAGACAGAATGCGCTAAGCACTTGTGCCATCGAGCTCCTCATAAGACAATCATTGTATGTGATATGTAGGGTAAACCTACATAAATACAATGATTGCTGCTAGCCATAAATAATGACAATCTAAGAAACAAATATTTTTCTTTTCAGAATAGGGTGGTTAGTCAGCCGGTGCCTGATCCACCTGGGAGACATTCCGGATAAAGATGTCTAGTCCTGAGGGCGAGGCCGGCAGCGGCAGCGACGTAGCGTACTGTGTGCCGGGCGGGCAAGTCTTCCAAAGCGTCTACGTACAAGTCCACGGATACATCGCATTGATCATATGTTTACTCGGCTCAGCAGCAAACTCCGTAAACATCGCCGTCCTTAGCCGAAAAGAGATGGCTTCTTCCACGAATTCCATTCTTACGGGATTAGCAGTCGCTGATCTTCTCGTCATGCTAGACTATATACCATTCGCACTCCATCTTTACACGAGTATAGGATCTCAACACAACAGAAACTCTTACGGATGGGCTGTTTTCATCTATTTTCATTCGATCTTCAGTCAGACATTCCATACAATTTCGATCTGGTTGACAATCACCCTAGCGGTTTGGAGATTTATCGCAATTAAGTTCCCCCAGAAGAATCGGACATTGTGTAACAAAAGGAACACAACCATAGCTATAGGCTTAGCGTACGCAGTGTGTCCAATTTTGTGTCTTCCTTTCTTTTTTGTTATGAACATTCAAGAAGTGTACAAAAACCATAATCATAATGAGACTTTTAATGATACGGAAACAATTAATATGACCACCAATGATGGTCCCGCATACGCAGTGATGATGACGGAAAACGAAGATCTCTTGACTGCTATATTTTGGATATACAGTGTATTTATTAAACTTATACCGTGTGTAGTGTTATCAATTTTAAGTGTATTATTAATATTGAAAATGAAATCGAGTGACAGGAGAAGACAAAAACTATTGAAAAAGTCAATAATAACAACAAATGAGGTAAGTCAATTTTATACAATTAATCTTTATTTTTACTTTTTTTGAAGTGAAAACTTCTTTAGCGGCGTTGTACAGTTTTTTTTGGATGGGTAAAAAATGTTAAACTCGCATCCTGACACGGGGGCTAATCACATCACAGGCTACGTGTCCTGATCGTAAGACGAAAACAATAAAATTGGAAAGGTTGTTGACTTTCAATATATTAGACGAATCATAGTATTATTTTCTTTTATCGTAATATATAATGAATATTGTATTCTACCACATAAATGATAGTACTTTTATACTGATAATTATAGAAATTCGTGCAAAATTATTCCCTAACCATTCCAAAATATCAAAAATGCACAACGTTAATATTCAAGTTTTCATTTCTGCCGGCACGGCACTCTCAGAGTGCAACCCGTCGTTTTTTTTTTTATCTTGTTAGTAATGCATTGTTTTCATTTATTAACAAAATGAAAGCTTTTCTATCGATAGTATGTATCCTTCTACATAAGTATTAATTTTAATAACCGGAACAAAATTAAACTACTTTGTTTTTATCCATCACTAAATAGTAAATAGTAAAGTTCATTAAATATAAAAAAGCCATTGCAAGTTCACTCAACGTCAGACGACAATGATATATCTATACTTCTCAAAAGTAACTATCAACTTAGGTACAATATCAACTTTCCGGAGTAAGTCAGCGATATTTGTATCATATTGTGTAAGTAATATTCAATATTCCCCTCGAGAATCCAACGAAAAAAGTTTATATTCGATATCATCGACTCGTATTTATTTTTTACTGGCATTTAAAAATGATATAAGATGTACAATCGATAGAAGCTGTAGTCTGTCACTTTCATGTGCTAATTCTTGATAATTTGAAAGTTTATTTGTAAAGGAGATTGCTCAAATTGGCCCAAATGCACAAAAAATATTGACATATACGGTAATTCTTGGCGCAATTTATAATTTAATTTACAGTCATTAGATTTCAACGGACATCTTTGTATAATATATTTACTTTTAAAAGGACTTTTAATTTTACCCGTTTGGTAAACATACGAATCTTTTTTAATGGCTATGGGTGTAGTAACATTGAGCCAAAGACTGATCGAAGTTGTTTATATAATATAAAAACAAATCTATTTTGTAAAGATCGATAAAATAAATCATTTTTTATTACACTGTGGTATTAATATCCACAACTATATTACCATTTTCACTACATGCAAATGTGCTCAGACAATTATTATAGATGGTAGGCAACATCATAAAGTCTATTGCCATACAGTTTTCGCCAAATACCTCCATAAACACACTATAATCTGCATATGTGTTAGACTTTAAGGTATCTATCTATGGGCCTACGTTGCCTGACTATAAATTAATAAATAAATAAAATTATAAGGTGTGATACACTATAAATCTAAAATATGGTTATATTTAAAACATAACAAAAATAATGAAGCTACTGAATATATGGCTATATAACCTAAATCTCTTAGCTTTCTTTGGTTAACGAGAGTTTAAAAATTCTCTCAAATCTGTCGCTCATTCACAATCATCACACAGTTTCTGTCACAGAGTACCTTATTATAACCGGAAATGCATAGATGACACCTGATTTCAAAAGTTACTCTTATGCATTAACTTTAAAAACAGGCAACTATCTGTTAATCTACATGCTCTATATACCTGAATCTAATCCATAATTTCGGTACTTGGCCTGATTTCCCTAGTTTACTATAAAACTTATTTGTTTTTTATTATGTTCAGTGTATATGGTTTATAGAAGTTCTCAGGGGTGTCCGTCAATAATATTCGTTTCTACAGTAATTTATATGTAATTTCGAATTTAGGAAACAATTTTTCATAATTATTGGTCTTTAGGCCAAACATGTATGGAAGCTGAGCAATCTCCTTTGTAATCGTAATAATAATTTTTTTCGTTCGAAAGAAGCAGACTGTCGACTACTTTAATAGGGATGATGTCAATTTGTTTTCTTCGTTTATCAGTTGGATTATCAATAAGTATTGTTCACGTATTTTTCTTTATACACCTAATCAAGACATTACAGATATAATATTGATTTAAAATATCGCATGACGTAACGTCTTGGTACAATTGTTACTTAGAAGTGACGTCACTAGCCCCACGTTTGGACGTGGACTTTGGACTTTTCGCGCTTTATCATTTTATTTTTTTGGTTGATTAGTAAAAGAAAAAATGAAAGCCCATTGATAAATCTAACTGGCGGATTAAATAGAATTGCGTTTAATTTACCCTGACATCATCGCTATTGTAACTAGAAGAGGTAGATGTTTTGTTTCTAGTGGCAACATTTTTCATTGAATAGGGTGACAAAGCGCGTCTGAACGAAGACGGTGGTGGGAAGCGAGGGGGTGGCCGCACAGACCGCACGACGAGGATGCTGGTGGCTCTTCTCGGGCTGTTTCTGGCTACGGAGCTCCCGCAAGCCCTCTTCGGTCTGCTGACAGCCATCGCTCCTCACCTCTTCCAAATATGTTACTATGCCTTTGGTAAGTGTCATCCTACTGATATTATAAATTTGAATGTTTGGTCCAAGCTAAAACGACTGAACGGGTTTGGATGAAATTTAGCATATGTATAACTTCACTAATCACCCAGATTAACAAAAGGATACGTCCTATCCCGGAATAAGGTAAGGCTCCTGTAGGTTTCTCATAAAAGTAAATTTGTAGACAAAGTTGTGGGCGCGAGCTAGTCTTATTATATAGCAAATACCATATGGTATTGGGCTAGTAACTCTACCATTATTGTTTCTGAACAATATCTTAGAGTTAAGTAACGCCAAATATGGTGTATTTGAGAGACTACTATGCGTCAATATTTATAATTGTACCTTTGATGCTCTGCCAACCTAGTAAAGAAAGTATGGTGTGAAAGTTTGCATGTTGAAATGCAAACCTTCACACCATACTTTCTGCATGCATTTATTATTTAGCTATGTGGGTAATATTTTTTTTGTGGCAAGAGTGCCATATATTTCCCACCCGACGGCTAAGTGACTACCATAACCTAAAGCTGCTTATTTATATACCAGGGATTATCACTCGCACATTGCCTAACCTGACCCCAACCCCTATCCTGTTAAGCTCTGGCAATAAAGTCAAGCGAGGGAAACATTTGCTTTTATAGCGCATTTTAAAATTGTTGTTCTTTTAAAACCGTAATTCCACAAAATAACATAAACATTTGGTATAAAATCAAATGTTACCAAACCAACAGTTACTTTGAAAGGTTCCAGAGCAAACAAAGTATACTTTGTACTTTTCTTTTCTAAGAATTTCGAGTATCAATAAGCACATATGTACGGAATATCGGGATCACTGTTCACTTTATCGCCGATGGCTCAATATTATTGAGAAATAAAAAATCTTCAATGAGCAAATTCTTGAGAAATATGAACGATAAACGACAAGCTGTTCCAGAAAGAAAATTTAAATAAAACGCGTCAGCAAATGCTAAGCTCACAGCACTATGATCCTGGTTACAAAATACTTTAGATAAGGCATATTATTCAAACTTCTTTAAAACGAACAATATTAGTTTTTATGAATGACAATTAAAAATAATCAAATATGTTTTATCTTATAACACACATTAATTTTTTACACACTTATTTCGTCACTTCTTATAAAAAAATTGTTTATAGTATCAGCATTAGTATTATCCTAAATAATTTCCTACTACTAAGACGCGAATTTAAATTTCATCAAATTAAAATGGATTTTCAAAGCACACATGTATTCAAGCTGTGTAATGGATCTAAAATGTTGATGAAATGATGTTTCTTGTGCGCGTGGACTCCATTATGCTTAGTTAATTCATTAATCTGTTGCAAAAGCAGCCTCACGTCGTTAATTAACTCTTTAACAGTTTCCCGAAGAATTTAGTACCAAGTATTATGAATAAACTTTTGTAATTACAGTTATTTGAATACGAAAATAGCGGTGCTTCTCATCCACGTATTTTTATTGTTAAGTAACAATATGTGTTTTTTTAATTAGTTTACTAAAATATGAACATGAATAAAGTGTTGAAATAGAAGAGGTTCTAATTTTGAATCGTGACAAATATATTATTTCTCTTTCTTCAAGACGTATATTGAAGCCATTCGCGAATAAAGTCTATCTGAACGAGAGATAAACATAAATTTGAAGATTCTAAAATAAAATAGAAGATGTTTTCACTCTTCGTTTTCAGATCGATGGCAGATGCAGTGCAATTTAAGTGAGAAATTGCTCTTGTTCCGGGCAAAGCTCGAGAAGGTTGCCTCGATGATTAGAAAAGGCAGTTTGCGATTTAGATTGAAATAGTGCATCAAACAGTTTAAGAGTAGACAGCCGCTTTGAAAAAGTATTTAATGTTATTAATTAAAACAATATTGAAAGGGTTATTAAGATAATAATCAAAGGTTTTTATTCTTTTAAATTTTTGTAATAAACTAACAACGTAGATCTTCATACTAAATTGCTGGGAACGGTTATTTTCCAGTAAAACAAAAGAAAATTTAAGTACAAATAGAAACATTTAACCAAGGCATACGTAGCAGTAGGTATTGAACATTTTCTTCAAGGGAAAGCTAATATCTTAGCTTTAGATCGAATTTGAAACTTGGCCGAGATCACTTGAGTAATACAGCAAACACTACTCAGGACTTCAAGAACTTTCTTCTTTGTGTAGAATAGGTATCTAACCACTTTAAAATAAAAAATCGCACTTAAATGAAGACTTGGGTAACTCCCAGGTTGCTTTTAACATTTGAAACAAATGACAACACCGATAAAATATTATGATGGTGTGCATCTTAATATAAAATAATGGTTAAGCAAACTTATCTTAAGTGAAGGTTGACCGTAATTATACGCGTGTTTGTGCATCCAAAGAGATTTGTATTCATCAAGTAGCCACTCTTCAACATACTAGGCATCTAATATAATTTTAGAGCTAAAGCCGCGTTGCCATGCTCATAGTCTGCTTTGACAAAGTAGCTTCGTTTCATATACTTTTACGCTACGTTGATCGCGTAAAATAGTAATCACAGCGCACTTTGATGTTGTCATCCAATCAAAGTGGAAGTTGGACCATACTCAACTTTTGCCAAAGCTTTTTCGATACGTCCTACGCATAACTAGGTAACTGCCACTTGAAGAGTAATACGATTGTTTCGTTTTCATGATCTACGACCACAATTCTATATAATGGATAATAAAAATGTGTTTTTGCATATTATTAATATTATACAGTGGCAAAAGTGTGCATCTAAAATGTGTGAGCGCTGAAAATATGTAACCTATTTGGAAGATAGATATTTACGCGAGGGGTCAGGCGGTACGGGCGGGTCGGGATCTGCCATTAAGTTTTGCTGCGGCGGGCGTAGAAAACGGTACTAGGCGCATTTTAAGTTTTATTATCATTGATTGAACATGAGCTGTGAGGAAATGCTGTTTAAAAATGTTTAAAAAGAACTTGCATTTTTTAATTTTTATTGTAAAATTTTGGTAAAATAAGTTAATTTTTTCACCTTTGATGCTGCGCTATTGTATTGGGAATATTCCTATAAAGATAACTGATAGCTGTATGCGTTTTTTAAATAAATAAGTAAATATATACATATCAAGTTACGTCGTATTTCTCTAAGGCCTTTAAAAAGCTTGGTGTGCTCAATAATTCGAGAATTTCACACCAGCCCACCGACTGCAACTTTACAAGGCACAGGTTGGGCCTCACATGAAGTACTGAATTCAACTTTGGGCGGGGGTACCCCTGTACCAGCTCCTCTCCATTGATCGCAACCAGTGCCGAGCGGCTCGAATTGTTGACGACCAGAACCTCTCCAATCAGCTTGATCCTTTGGTTTTGCGTAAGGATGTACATCCTCTGCCACCTGCATTGGTCACGGGGATTATTCTGAGGAATTGTTCGAATTAATTACAGCTGCTACTTATCGGTATAGTACATCGCGATAAAAATTTCATCTCTATCATCTTAATTCGTAGCTATACACAACCGTGCAAGAAAACTGTGTCATAATATTGTAGCCAGAAGTGTTACCGGACTGTCTTGGTGTTGTAGATGTCTATGATGGGCGACAGTGATCACTTACCACCAGGTGAGTCATCTGCTCGTAAACGAGCGACCAGCGAGAATAACTGCCAGAAGAACAACGTCTAGGTCTTACGTGAGATACAAAAATGCGAAAAGATAAAATTATACTTTGAAAAAGCACGTCCAACCGCGCGTTTGTCGGTTTCGTTTCGGAGCGAACCGGTTAAGGTTCGCTCTAGCAAAGCATAATTATTATTAGAAGGATATAAGCTTTTTTGCATGTATAATAATACGTATCTTATTTTGACATTCCTTAAACCGCATTCCTTCACAGCTCATGTTTAATCAACGATAATTTTCTTTAAACATCGCCAAGTACCGATTTCTACGCTCGCCGCAGCAAAACTGAGTTGATGGCAGATCCCGACCCGCCCGTACCGCCTCACCCCTCTCATAAATATCTATCTTCCAAATTGGTATATTTGTAGCGCTCACACATTTTAGATGCACACATTTGCCACTGTATAATTTAATAATATGCAAAAAACACTTTTTTTTAAAGTCCATCATATAATATTGTAGTCGTAGATCACGAAACGAAACCAGACAATAGTATTACTCTTAAAGTGGCAGTTACCTTGTTATGCGTAGGACGTATCGATGTCATCTCGGCTTTTGGTCAGAATCCCATACGCGCTGCTTAGTTTTCATCATGGACCAATAATATACTTGTCAAAGCAGACTTTGACCATGTCAACGCCGCTTTAGCTCTTAATTTGTGTAAGATGCCTGGTACTTTGAAGAGGTGGTACACCGCTGACATAGAAAGAAGAGTGGGTGCAGGAAATAGAGTAAATGGAGCTTTGGGAAAACATCTTGGCAGTAAAAACCTAAGCAAGAAATTACAGCTCGCTTTACACAACCTCAACGTTATCGGTACATATATTGACGTTTGCGCCGTCTGTCCCCCACCGAGGGCACTCGTCCGGTACCCGCGCCGACAACGTCGTTATTTCAGAACCCTTTTCGCAAAACTAATCATATGAGGCAAGTAAATGGGATGAGGGGGTGTATAAATCTCGTCGGATGCAAATCTCGTATAATTAATGGGTTTGATTTATTTTCTGTCAAATTCCTGTGACAAGCGAGCCATTACGCCATGGAGGTGATGCTAAGCTTGATTAACCTTCATTTGCTGCAAAAGGATTGAAGGAAAATTTCAATATAAACAACGTTCCTTTATATATCTATTCATAAGCCAAAAGTAGGTACTCATCAATCCATTCACAGACTGATTTATCACCAAAATACACTTATTTTGATGATAAATCAGTCTGTGAATGGATGAACCACTGTGTGCATAGAAATAAGAACTATTATTTTTCGAGTATAAATTATTTTAGTTTTCTAAATAGTAATAAAAAGCTTGTTTGGCCAAAATAATGCAAATCTAAGAAATTAAAAAGAAACTTGGTATTGATAAACAAATTGAAAAAGGCCGATAAGGTATTAATAGTCACT